GGGAGGAATAGAAAGATATGAACAGAAACGTGTGTCTGTGTGTGTGTGTGCGGACGCGTGCTCGTGCATACAGACATACCCCCCCCCCCTCCCAATAGCCAACAGCCAACTCCCCTCAGGATATGTTTAAGGTAAACAGCGATAAATGAAAATCCATAAAGGTTCGACTATTCTGGAAAGTGAAATCTCGCCCAGAAAGTATCATTCACATATTTTGAAAGTAGACTGACTTTACATAAGAATATAATTCCTCTGTCGATAACAGATACAGAGGAATACATTTGTTATACATATAATGATTTTAGGGAGACTATATGAAGTTTAGTTATATTTATATCGTAATATTGAAGACTACGTTCATACCTGCACCCTAAGTATTTTACGAATCACCTGTGAATTCAAATATTCATAATCACCAATAAATTGTTCCTTAGTGTTAAACGATGTTGTATCGACTCTTTGTAGTGTGTTGACTGACCACTTACCGGTTGCACGCTTTGTATAATTACTTCCGCTGATAAGGTTTCCATTATGCGAGCCTGTTTGTGTTCGTTTGCTTGTTTTCGGAAGGAGAAGGAGAGACAAGAGAATATCTGAACTTTTAATCTTTGTCGATCTGGTTCTTTCGTTTTCCGCATTCATTTGTTTGTTTATCTCGGTAGTTATCTCCTTCTGAATCTGCCCTTTCTTCTATCCTATCCCCCTCCCCCCCCTCTCTCTCTCTTTCTCTCTCTCTATATATATATGTGTGTGTGTGTGTGTGTGTGTGTGTGTGTGTGTGTGTGTGTGTGTGTGTGCGCGCGCGCGCGCGCGCGTGTGTGTGTGTGTGTGTGTGTGTGTGTGTGTGTGTGTGTGTGTGTGTGTGTGTACGTGTGTGTGTGTGTGTGTGTGTGTGTGTGTGTGTGTGTGTGTGTGTGTGTGTGTGTGTGTGTGTGCGCGCGCGCGCGTGTGTGTGTGTGCGCGCGCGCGTGTGTGTGTGTGTATGTATATATATGCAAACTAAGCATTAGATATCTACAGCATACTTACTTTGATGTATATATATGTATGCATATAAAAAAATATACATATATATACATATACACACACACAGGTGTATGTATATATATGTATATATATACATATACACACACAGGTGTATGTATATATATATGTATATATATACATGGAAACATATATATACAGAGATATATACACATAGATATATAAACATAGAAATGTATACATAGATATATGCATATATAGAGAGAGAGAGAGAGCGAGAGAGATACATACATATGCATATGATATGCACAGACACACAAATACCCAATTTACATTATTACAGTATTAATTTACATACATACCTGCATATATACATGTACTTAGAATATATATGTGTGTGTGTGTGTGTGTGTGTGTGTGTGTGTGTGTGTGTGTGTGTGTGTGTGTACGTGTGTGTGTGTGTGTGTGTGTGTGTGTGTGTGTGTGTGTGTGTGTGTGTGTGTGTGTGTGTGTGTGTGTGTGTGCGCGCGCGCGCGTGTGTGTGTGTGCGCGCGCGCGTGTGTGTGTGTGTATGTATATATATGCAAACTAAGCATTAGATATCTACAGCATACTTACTTTGATGTATATATATGTATGCATATAAAAAAATATACATATATATACATATACACACACACAGGTGTATGTATATATATGTATATATACATATACACACACAGGTGTATGTATATATATATGTATATATATACATGGAAACATATATACAGAGATATATACACATAGATATATAAACATAGAAATGTATACATAGATATATGCATATATAGAGAGAGAGAGAGAGCGAGAGAGATACATACATATGCATATGATATGCACAGACACACAAATACCCAATTTACATTATTACAGTATTAATTTACATACATACCTGCATATATACATGTACTTAGAATATATATGTGTGTGTGTGTGTGTGTGTGTGTGTGTGTGTGTGTGTGTGTGTGTGTGTGTGTGTGTGTGTGTGTGTGTGTGTGTGTGTGTGTGTGTGTGTGAATACATTTAAATAAAACTCTAACCTTACTGATGTCTTCACAAGAAAGTAGTTTTTTGTTGCCTTCCCTCGTGAGAGTAGCCATTTGCTTCGCTTCTGTGTACGTCCACCAGAGTACCAACAGAAACGAACGAAACAGCCAAAGTGTCGTTTTATCCCCGCAGACTTCAGTGCGCACGTGTATCTGACGCAGCACTCGGGCGGCAAGTGTAAATGGGATAAACAGTTCATCACACCGCGTCACGCCACCAGTTGGTTTAGAGCTGGTGGGTTTTTTTACCGTTCATCTTACCCGTAACTTTCTGTTTTCTCTTGATTTCCGGATTGTCTTGCTTCTGATTTTAGGTATTATCTTTATGCTGCTATTATGTATAATCAGTGTGACTCATTTTAATTGCTTTTATATCGTTGATGATATTAGGATTGTATTTTGTCGTCATTACTATTAGTGTTATTATTTTCATAATTATATTTTCATCATCAAGAATTCTTGATATGTCCACCATATTATTTCTTCTTGTTATTATCGTTTCTATCAATGTAATTACCATTATTATCAATATTTTTATTACCGTTGCACCACCATTACTGTTAACACCATCGTCATCATTACTATTATTATTATTATTATGATGATGATGATGATGATGATGATGAGGATTATTATTATCATTATTATTATTATTATCAATAATATGACTATTACAATTGTCTTTATTATCATTATTATCAGTATCATAATGGTTACTATCAATGATATTGTATATCTATGATATTACATTTCTTTTAGTCTTTATAATCATCACCTACATTATTATTAATCTAACTACTATCATTATTTATTAATGACATCATTATCACTATCAGTATCGTCATTGTTACGCTATTTTCGGGACGCCATTTCCACTAACAGTATCATCTCTATTTTCAGCACTTACACAACACTCTTATACCCACATGAGAATAAGTGACTGTCAGCGCGCGAACACACACACACACACACACACACACACACACACACACACACACACACACACACACACACACACACACACACACACACACACACACACACACACACACACACAACCAAACAATCACTCCGACAAACGATCCGTCAAATAATCGCAGCCAAACACATGTCCCCGTAGGCCCCCCGCCCTGCGTTTGCCCTTGGCCGCCACGCCCTCCCGTAAGTAAGCCGTAGGGAGGAGAAGGAAGGAGGCTGGAGGTGTAGAGTCAAAGATACTTCGGTGTTGTCTGAGTCAGCTGGTGCCTTGTCGACTGCGGTGTCCAGAACTGTCTTGTCAACGGCTGTGTCTGGGGTTATGAGGGCCGCACCCACACGACACGCCGTCTTGCCCCTTGGGACACCCGCGCATAAAGGCCATTCGAGGAACTAACGGTGTGGGACGGGCCCTTCTTCCACCGAGGTTTCGGAATCCCACGACTTGGTTGTCAATCTTTTACATTGGAATTTGTGAGTTTTGGGTCAGGAAGCTGGTTATATGGTCTGAATAATAGTGTTTCTCTTATAACTACTTTGGCTAACGCAAAGGTGGAGAAAAAACGTGACAGAAATTAAACTCGTGACATCGGTAGCGGTAAAGTGGAAATGCAGTTGATGTAACGGTGTAAGTGATACTTTTAGATGGTGTTAAATTGTGATAACCGATGATGTGTACAGTGCGCTGCTAAGGCTGTGATAGCGTCCTAATGATGATGCGGAACTAGTGATAATGACAGAATGAACGGCGATTGACAATGGCAAAGATTAAGTAACGGAAGTTAATCACAATAGCAGGTGAATGTACAGTAGTTCGTGCTAAAAAACAAACAAAAACTTGTATTTGGTGTTGTCAGGTACAGAAGTCAGGTGTGTGAGGTCCTCCACCCTCCCCTGGGGAACCTTTTTTTCACTGATCATTACTAGGTTCCGTCCAGTTCATTGGATCATCATGGTAGCTACGTTTCTTTGATTAGTTTATTTATCAATGTAACGCTTACAGTGTGTGCAATATACACAAACCTATGTTTATATGTATATATATATATATATATATATATATATATATATATATAAATATATATATATATATATATATGCATGCGTTTGTGTATATAAATAAATAAATATATATATATATATATATATATATATATATATATATATGTGTGTGTGTGTGTCTGTGTGTGTGTGTGTGTGTGTGTGTGTGTGTGTGTGTGTGTGTGTGTGTGTGTGTGTGTGTGTGTATGTGTGTGTTTGTGTATGTGTATATATATATATATATATATATATATATATATATATATATATATATATGTATATGTATATATATATATATATATATATGTATATATATATGTATATATATATATATATATATATATATGTATATATATATATATATATATATATATATATATATATATAATGTGTGTTTTAATCTTATGTCTATTTCTTATGGAGTTTTGTGTTTAAATAACATTTATTGCTTTCTAAAGTTTCCTTCTTCCAGTCTACACGAAACACTTTCTTGATAAAAGTAAAACAATAGAATTAGAATAGAGGCCCGAGTCAGCCTTGGTGAAGGTGCATTCAACGATATCAAATAATGATCATCACTTCCGGTGTCTTGACCTCATTTTCCTAATAAATTTCATATAAACGTTATTAAAGGAGACTCTGAAGCCGTGATTCTGTGTTTTTTGCTGTAAGAATGAGAGCATCTTGGAATGACTATCTCGGTAAATTGATGATTTCCTCTCATTGTTAGAAGGGCGAAGACATGAAGAACTTTAGTCATGGATACAAATCGAAGATTTAAAATTAATCATTGGTATAAATTGCATATTATTTATTTATTATAGTAAGAAAAATAACAAAGAAGTTAAAAATATGAAGTGTCTAATTTTAAAGAAGGAAAAGGTTCATAGGCAAGATCGACTTTCGCTTGACCCCGCAGTGGCAGCGGTGGCCCCGACAGCCAACACCGAAGAGGTAGGAGCGGAAGGCGTGGCTCTTGTTTTGGTTCTTTTCACACGCTTAAACAGGTTGATCAGGTCTGGGGAGTCTTCCGCGTGTAACATAATGCATGGGCCCCAGTCCTCGCTGTTGCTTTGGGAAGAAAAGGGCTTTTGGCGAACAGAAGAGTCGGAGGAATGCGAGGCATGTCATTCACGAAGGTCCAGCTGATCATTAACTTCATCCCCGAAGATTAGTTTGTTGTCTGTTTTCTCACTGTTAGTCGTTCGGAAGACGTGACATGAACCCTATGGGCATTTAGGGGAAGCCTGCGTTAGATTCCTCGCCCTGTTTCCTCTGATCCGTGGAATTTCGGCGTTTTGTGAGGGGTTTGGGGGCGGAGAGAGGAGAAAGTCCCACCTGGCCACTGCCTTAGGGTCAGCCCCTCCTACACGCACGGAGGAAAGCCCCAGGGCATGGGAATGGTCAAGTTTCCCCCTTTCGCCCCTTTTCTCTCGGTTTCTCTCCTATTTGAGGAGGCCTATGGTGAGTGAAGGGAGGAAATGGGTGTGTGTGTCCTCTCTCACTCAGAGTTAGTGATGATGCAATAAGGGACATGAAGGATTGTGGAGGACGAATCTTCACCCTCGAGGAAGTGTTTGTGGGAGGCCGTGTTTAGTGTGATTTACTGTTACTTTTCAGTCAGCTACCATAGTGAAGGAGCTAGTAACTATTTATTTTTGAATGAAGTACGGCAGGTTCTGGAAGGCTGAGATTTCACGCTAGTGTTGTTCGCACTATTTATCACACTTTATACAAGGCATCAGGTCCAGATACATAATGCAAACTTCAGCATATTCCCTTTTATCTTTTATTTTATTATTATTTTTCAGTAATCTGTAAGCATATGCTAAAGTGCAATAACAAGGATACGAAGAAGTAGACTATCATAACAAGTTCTGTTAGTGCAGTGTATTGTGGTGTTCTGTGTAAAGCTTTGTAAGTGATAAAATAACTATAAAGGAGTGCCAGTTGCAGCAGTTCTAGTACAGAAAGGAACAGTAGTTAATCCAGGTTATGTTTTATCGATTACTAATTTGCAACCAAAGTATTTCGTAACTGTGGAAATAGATTTAAAAAAAAAATGGTTGGAGATAAGTAAAAAAGAATAGAAAAGCTTGAAAGGATTAATTGATGTTGATGTGCTATATCGGAAGTGAACACCCCAAATTTAACCAGTTACATACAGATGGGTCATGTGCACCGGTCTACGGGGTATAGCTGTACCCATGGTGATGCATCAGAGTGTGTGGAGTGAGATGTTCCGCGTGATGTAGTGGACTCCTGCGCCTAGTGTCTGACCGTTGCCAAAAATCGCCAGAGTTTATCACACTCAGGGATTTCTTTTACCCTGCAGTGATGTGTTTAAAGCATATTTGTCGTGGGATGAACACATTTATTGCAATAGCTTTAGGGGCTCCTCGGATTATAATATTGACTGCTTGGTTCATTATTGGGCTTTAGAAACATTGGGAATTTTGTATGTGAAAGTTTGGGATGGGTCTCAATGCTCCTTCTATTTTGGTAAATTAATGTGATTATGAAATTGATCTAGTGTAATCTGAATGTTTAGATTTATAGCATTTGTTTACTTGTATTTAACTTTAGGGAAAGATATGATTAATGGATAATATAATGTTTGCAAAAATTAAGAATGTAGAATTTTTGGGAATGATGTTAGGACGGAACAATAATTTTATAATATTTTTCCTGTTATTGATTATTTAAAGAGCAACTTTTTTCTATTTAAAAGTATAGCATGTGATTATAATCTGACCTTAAATAGGCAGAATTTGAGTGAAAGTTTTGCAGCTTTGGGACAAAAAATGGAAATACATTTAATGCTAAAGGTCCTTGTGGTAATTCTTCGCAGTGTGAATGCACTTGCAAGAGATTAAGTCCCCCAACTACACTTAAAATGTATTTAATAAAGTTGCTGTGAATGGGCGTGCCCCCCAACACCCACCGGGAAACATTGTCTGCACCTCAGTTTGCATAGCAAGAGAGAACTGAAACTTGGAATGACTGAGTGGACTTATGCGGTGTGCTGCACTTTCTGCAATCTTATTTTATTTATGGAGTTACTGTTCATGTCTGCAGATTATTTATTGCCCTACCTTAGTGTGTCTGTACTGTAAAGACTAACCATCCTAGCAAAGAAAAAGGTAAATAGAAAAGTGAAATTAAAGATGATATATAGGTTAGGGTTAACTTCTAGGCCTGTTAGACTTTCTAGCCTCTGTTTATGCATAAATTAAATTTGTGACACTTATTTTCTATAGATATTCCTATCAAACATGACTGTGCAATCTTATACCAATTTGTGTATACCAAAAGAAAATGATTTCATAGATAACAAGGAGATATACCAGAAGTCAAAGTGAAAATGAAAATATTGAATGATTAGAGAAAGGGAATTAGATTATTTTTATTAGAATTAAGTAAATAATGTTTGCTACTATAGATTATAGGCAAAGTAGAGAAAAGTTATGAATTTTTCCTCTATGAAATGATTAATTTTCTCAGAAAAAAGCAAGTGAAAACCAGAGATGTAAGAAATGTATGTTAATTTCATAGGATGCTCCTACCTTAATATTAAGTATAGAAGAATACAAATCACTTGGAAATTACTTAGACATATTAATTGATATGGTGAGTGCAGTGGTCCATAGACCTTTATATGTAACCTTATGATTATTTGTAAAATTCTCGGAAAAGACTTCAACTCCTACATTGCCTTTCATATAGGAATATTGCATCAGATTTTTTATTTTATTTATTTATTTTTATTTTATTTATTTATTTTATTATTGTTATTTTTTTATACTGATAATTGGGATTCTTGTGTGGATTAAGATGCTTTCTGGTGTGAAACTATTGTGACATTAAAATGCACTAACAAACTGCTAATGTCATTCAGTGGTGAAAGTGTTTTTCAAATGTACTTGACCAGTGGGCATTCTGACTAGGGATTGACTCAACTGTCTGGTTCTTGGTCACTCTTACATAGTTCAGTAGCAATTTAGATTGAGGAAAATTTGCGGTACATGTGGTAGTGATCTTTAGCTTCATCTGTAACATTCCTTAAGTCCCCGAAAGTGTTGGCAATTCTGTTTTTTTTTATACCTTTCACCTTTCACCTTTCGCCAAGGGCAAACTGTTGGTATGTAGTTTAAATAGTACTATTTAATGGATCAGATGGCATTTTTCTGATTCTGATAAATTTTCTAGTTAGTGTTCAGTGAGGCTAGAAAGTTATGAAACCGCAGATGGAAAGTGGTGGGAGAGAGGACATATTTTTTTGTCACCCAAAAATGCTTCTTGTTTTAATAAAAAGGTGG